CTCAGGGCTGTGAGATGGATTTAATTTAGTTTTCTTATTATTAAATATATATCTGAATGAGGATATAATGACTGATTTGGTCTTTAAGAATGAAAATCAACCTGTTTGTTCCTGCAGATCTTCCTGTTTGACTGTAAATGTTTCTTCAATCTTCACATCTTCACTCTCCTCTTTAATAAACGCCATCTTTATAACAGTGTGGAGATCAGTCACTTCAGCAGGAGTTTTTCTCTGCGTTTGGACACTTTATCCTGTTTTAAATGAACAAAACAATAAAAATGTTTTGTTTAAAATGAATAAAACAATAAACAGAAACAAAATAACTTCTCTTCAACACTTGCTTCAACAGTTTCTTTATATGAGAGTAATAAACAAAAAGAAATCAGGCAAGTCTGAGCAAGAAACATTATCCACAAATAACCTGAAAAAAACTAGTAGAGTTACTTCATTTTTATATATATAGAGATGTATACTTAAAATTAAATTACATTATGCTATTTAATATATTAAACCTTTATTAAAACACCACTTACACACATTTCTGTTGTTTAAACAATAGCCCTCATTACTGTGAGTAAAATTGTACTACATTGTATAAAAGGGTTAAAATAATATTCTTAACAGCAGGTACACAATTTAGTATCGGATGAAAAGCCTGAAACTTTAATCAATCGGAAATATCTGTGTAAAAGTTTTAAAACAAACCTTTCTCCTGTTGAATCAGCGCGGGAGCGGCGCAGCCTTATGACGTCAGACGCAACGCCAAAATAAAAGTCTTTTTTTTGTTAAGTTTTTTTTGCCACTTACTGTTGCAGTCAGAACATGATAAATTTCTCCCTCCTTTTCCACTTCACACAACATAGCTGCTATCTCTCTCACATACACAGACATTCAGTAATTGAAGTTGATCAAAACAATCCAAACATTTTAACACAATTTTGAAAAACTTGTTTAATCCACTTTTAAAGCAGAAAACCCCAACATTCTAAAAGTTATAACAATAGCCTGGTGGGTGTTTTAAGCTGACATTTTACAGACACATTCTTGAGACACAAAGATCTTAAATCTTGAATTAGAAAGTTATGTTACTAAACTTAAATCACAGTATGTTATGTAAAGTTTATCAGACTCGCCAACAGGGCCGGCCCGTGGCATAGGCAGTATAGGCAAATGCTAAGGGCGCTGTACATCCAGGGGGGCGCCAGAAATGAGTGCGGTTAAGTTGGTTTTGTTTTCGATATTCCTGACACATTCAGTGACAGACGGCAATAACTCAAAAACCTCTTACCCTAAAATGATCTAAAGTGTGTTTCCTAAAAAAGACCAAGCTGGTTATGTTTCACAGCTGTCTTTTTCTTTTTTTTCGCTTAACAATTTGACCACTGCTCTGTTTAAGCCCTCGCGATATGCGTTAAGCACATAAGTGGGCTGGGCCAACCATGTTGCTCCGTCTACAAGTCTTTCATTGGTTCACGGAAACATATGGACCTTGATGTAATGTATGCTTTCGATTTCGGTTCTCATTACTGCGGCTGTTTCTCAATATGCGTTCTTCAGCGGTCTTGCGTCCTCTTGTTCTTGTGTAACGTCATCATCAGTTGCCAAAGTTCAGTTCCAATACTTAAGACCGCAAGTACGGAGGACGTGTGAAACTTCCCGGATGTGATCTTGATATCGAGGACGCAACGATGCAGACTTGAGCACCGAACTCGCGCTGGAAGTCCCAGAAGTCATTGCGACTGGAGGTGGGAAGCGCAGCATTTTATTTAGATTTATTGTTAAAGTTCAGAGATATCACTTATTTACCTCAGGAGTTTCCCTAAATTAAATGGTGAAAGTAAATATTAACATGAACATCTTAACAAAGGAATAAACACATTAAGGGTGTTTGTTTGCTGAAATTTGTATTAAAATCTGTTTTATTCATATTGTGCAACAAAGATTTATAATGCTTTTATGCAAAGTATATATTTTGAAACGGGGAAAACCTATAAATCGTTATATGAAGGCTGTAATGTTTAAATAACTTACCATTTAAAAAAACGTGAAGGTCATGTGACCATCAGGAAGAACGCAGCATCTCAATTCTCAAAGGACACGTTCTCTGCCCTCACGGTTTCTTGAGTTCGTTCTTCCGAGGACACCTAGCAAGCCTGGTCTCCACAAGAACACAAGTCCGTTCTCTGCTTTCTTGGAATTGAGAAACAGCCTGCATGTTAAGTACACATCTTCTGTTGTGTAAATTGTTAAATTACAGTGCACGAGCTACGTATTATGTGTAATTTATTTAATTAAAAAGTTATGAATAAAGTTGAGATATGATATATTGAGATATGAAGTTGTAAAGCCTTTAAAAAATGTTTTCTGTGTAAGAGTTGGGGTTTTCCAGGTTGAACGTAAAGTTGGTGGTCTTATTCACTTAGATTAAGAGTTTTGAGAAACACAGTCCATCACATGAAGTTTATTGATATCATTTGGGGTGGGCAAGGGGGTATGGGCCAGTAACCTACTATCCTTCTAATTATATATATGTATATATATATATTTATATATATATATGTATATATATATATTTATATATATATATATATATATATATATTTATATATATATATATATATATATATATATATATATATATATATATATATATATATATATATAACCATTGTATAAAGTAAAGATAATCAATACAATAATCTTTATGTACTTTTAATTTTTGCAACGTTTTTTTTTTTTAGTTCTTGAATCTAATTGGCTGTAAACCCTGCAATATTCTAATCAGCCTCTTCATCTGGGTTTAATCACTCTGCCAGCTGCAGCGAATGTCAAATTTGTTAATAAACTTGGCTGGACCACATAGCCTATTTTTGAGAGAATGTTTGTCTACTTAAGGATTGCGGCTATTTGTTTTGATGACTTCGGACTCGGAGATTATATTGTTGATAGCACTCCTCTGGTGGACACATTCTGGAGTCTGATGTATGTCTTTATAGTAGTAAAATGTGGGGAAAGAATTGTTTTGAGTATATATAATGACTATTACTGCAATGCAGTAATGCAGTAAGTCGTGGTCGTGTACCCCATATCTAGAGAAAGACCAGCATTTGTGGTTCAAAAGCACTTATTGCATTCCTTATAGACAATAACTTGTCTTTTTTCCCCCTGTATTTCACCTCACATTTAATTCTGGTCTAATACTAGTGATTGGTTACAAGTGGCCAGTGCCGCCCCTCTGCTTTTTGACACACCTCCAAGTGTTTCAAGTAGGTCCGGTACTCGACCTAAAAGAGGTCTGCTTGTGTGGTTTCTCCCTCTTTCTATTATTACGCCGTGTCCATGGCCGGCTCGGCACGTATTTGTTTTAAAAGACGGCATATAATTATGGAAGTTGTCACTCATAAGTAGAGCCATCTGAAGCTAACGTTAGTACGTGTGGTCTCACTGGGAGAGAGGTACTTGTACAATTGTTAAATACAGTTTTTATGGACATACTGGTCTCTTCATTACCTGGCTAGCACGTTTTAGAGCCCTTACCCTTTGACGGACTGATGTGTCACTTTTGACAGAGAAAGTTTAAAAGTCCGTTGAGCTCGCGTTATAGCCTGAGAAATTGAAAACTGACACAGCATCCTCAGGTCTCAGTCTGTTGGTGCGACGACTGACTAATTTTTCTGACTCAAAGATCTTCTCAGTGTAATCTTCCTTCAAAAAATGATCACTGCATACTTGTGCCTCTGGGTCCATTGGAGGGTTTTTCCTTTTCATCGCCGCTAGCCAGTGAAGCAGTGTTGTTCTGCATTTATGCGGCAGTTTATGAAAATTAACTAATTTTCCCTTAGCTTTGACACTGTAAAAATCATTTTTACATCCAGAAGCAATACAGTAGTGCCCATTGATGGCCCATTGCCAGACATTGATGGAAATGGTGAGATCGACGAGTAAACATACATAATGCAAGTAGTGTGTGGAAATATTTTATATTGAATTGCAGATTTAAAATACATACAGTATACAATAAGGGTTCATAATTTTACAGGTTGTAAACATTTTATTCATTAAACACCCCATATAAAACCCAAACACTGAATAAGAGAACTAATGTACTTACGCAGGTGCATCTACATTTGCAGGTTGCATTAGGTTGTCACCAACCTTGCATAATTCTTTATATGTATACAATACTTGAAGAAAAGAACATCGTAACTCAATAAGCTTACGCGGTTCTTTGAGTGTTGAATATTTTATTGTTACCCCCTTATTACCCAAACATTTTGGTTTGTTCCTTTGCAATTTAAAGAGAAGTACACCGTAAATTCAATATACTTACGCGGTACTTTTCGTGTTGAATATCTGGTTGTTACTCCCTTATTGCCCAAGCATTACAGTTTGTGTCCTTTATATCCACACATGTTATTTATACTTAAACTGTACATACAGAAAATTACACCGTTATTTCACTGTACTTGCGTGGTAATTTTCGTGTTTAATATCTGGTTGTTACCCTCTTAATACCCAAGCATTACAGTTTGTTCCCTAATACCCACTTACGCGGTACTTTGCGGGTTGTAAAAGAAAGTGTTACCTAAAAGTCTTCTCACTCAAGCACATATACTCGTTCACATCAGTGTGGATCTTTATGTGTTCATTAAGGTTTGCTGCTTGGCTGAAACTCATCCCACACCAAAGCTGCGGTCACACTAGAGTTGTATGTTGTATGGTGCTTCAAAAAGGGGTGGAATTAAACAAGATGATTAGACATTAAAAAGGTGAGCGATTGGTCCATATTTTAAATTTCTGTCCAGAGAAGTCATGTTTTGATCTTCCATTGGTCTCGCACAGTCAAGTGATGCAATTTTGCAGGTCAGAATTCACCAAGCTTGAACTTTGCAATGCAGTGAACTGCGAAACTTGATGCACGAACTTGCGTTTCCGGTCTGACACATTTGTGTGCCTATGAATGGAAGTCTATGGGGAGAAACGTCCAGTATGACCGCGGCTTAAGTGCAAATGAATGATTTCTTTCCAGTGTGAATCATCATGTGTAGTTTAAGGGATGATGAGTGAATGAAACGCTTCCCACACTGAGTGCATGTGAATGATTTCTCTCCAGTGTGGATCCGCATGTGTAGATTAAGGTATGATGATTGGCTGAAACTCTTCCCACACTGAGTGCATGTAAATGGTTTCTCTCCAGTGTGGATCCTCATGTGTTTATGAAGGTTTGAAGAGCAGCTGAAACTCTTCCCACACTGAGCGCAAGTGAATGGTTTCTCTCCAGTGTGCATCCTCATGTGGTGATTAAGGTGTGAGTAGCTGAAACTCTTCCCACACTGAGTGCATGTGAATGGTTTCTCTCCAGTGTGGATCCTCATGTGGTTATAAAGGGATGATGATTGGCTGAAACTCTTCCCACACTGAGTGCAAGTGAATGGTTTCTCTCCGGTGTGGATCCGCATGTGTAGATTAAGGTATGATGATTGGCTGAAACTCTTCCCACACTGAGTGCATGTAAATGGTTTCTCTCCAGTGTGGATCCTCATGTGTTGATAAAGGTTCGAAGCGCAACTGAAACTCTTACCACATTGAGAGCATGTGAATGGTTTTTCTCCTGTGTGGATCCTCATATGGTGATTAAGGTGTGAGGAATAGCTAAAACACTTTCCACACTGTGTGCATGTGAATGGTTTATCTCCAGTGTGGATCCTCATGTGGTTATAAAGGGAAGATGACAGGCTGAAACTCTTCCCACACTCAGTGCATGTAAATAGTTTCTCTCCAGTGTGGATCCTCATGTGTTGATTAAGGTGTGATGATTGGATGAAACTCTTCCCACACTGAGTGCATGTGAATGGTTTCTCTCCAGTGTGGATCATCATGTGAATATTAAGTTTGCTTTTGCATGCAAAACTCTTTCCACACTGAGAGCACATGAAACGATTCTTGTCTCTCCTTTTCAAAATATCATCAGTCTGTAAATTTGTTTTTTCCTCATATTTGACATGATGTTCCTCCTCTTTACTCCCCTCATTCTCTTCAATCAGGTCTGAAATAAATAAAACATGTTTTCATTAAGTCTTAAAAACTCTCATCAAAAGCTGAAAAGTGAAAAGACACTGGAAACATTGGCTATACACACTGTAATTTTAATGCACATTAAATGTAAAATAAATCAGATCATATTTTGTTCAGTCCTTTTATGTGTACACTTTTAAGCAGATTCAAATCAATTTATCTTTATCTAGTATCTTTTACAATGTAAATTTTGTCAAAGCAGAAGTTATAGTAAATTGAAACTGTGTCAGTCCAGTTTTCAGAGTTTCTTACATAATTGATCATAAGTCATTTGGTCATATCGATAAAACACATTTGAAAGCTGTAAATGGCCTCTTTTTATTCATTTTTATTCATAATTACAACAAAATGTTTTTCAAATATGTGTAAAGCAGACAGGGAACACTAGTTCATTCTGTGGCTGACTGGTAAACACACCAGAAAAAAAGTTCTGGGGTAACAACTGAACAAACAGCAGAATATTAGCCTCGCAGACAAGATATATACCTGTACAGCATCTGCATAAAGGCTGGAATTTGCACCTTTCCCCTCGTGTGCTGTTGGGTCATTTTCATCTATTCTGGGGTGATTTTGAGAGATAAAACTTTCTCTGTGTTTCAGCAAACGGACTGATATTTGGGGACATCTTATTCTGACATATTCTGGAACAATGCTTTGAAAAAGGAAACTCAATACAATCTGGCTAAATTTACTCCCTTTTCATTATATTCATGACTGTTTTTTTCTCCATTGGCCTCTTTTATAACAAAATTTTTTTTATTGCAAAGCCATGACAGCATATAATCATGCATTTATGATTGTTGGTGTTTTCTGTGATGACAGTCAACATAGTTTAATTGTTCTCCACCCATGGGACGGCAAAAAGGAAATGGGTGAAAGTATAAAGAAAGAGGAGGAGAGTTGAAGAGGTTGACTGAACTGTTGCAGTGCAGGGAAACGAGAAGAGAAACCAGGTCGAGACAAGCATTGTAAACTTAACAACTGGCTGTGAGAAACAAAAAGCAAAAGTATGTATTGAAGTAACAGGGCAAAGACTGCTGTCTTATTACTGAAGTGCTCGTGACGTTGGCAAAGACTTCAGTGCAGTGTGTCCTGAACAAAATCAACTTACCAATTTATCTTGCTGGCATGGAGTCAGCTGCCTACTCACCGGCCGGGTTCAATGACGCCCTCAACCTTACCATCCACACCTCCACATTCGCCATTTCCCTTGATCCCTTCGCTCCGTGGATAAGAAGCAAAAGTTTTTGTTTTCTTTGCCCAAATTCTCATTTTGTTTCTCTTGTTAAGTTTTCTCCCCGTACTATTATTATCAGTATTATTTTTCTTGTTTTCAAATCTGACGAATCTGCTGGCCTGAAATCATTTACAATTTTTTCACTTTTGACGTGAATGGTGCAGTGTGAATGGCGCAATACACATGAATGATGCAGTGCGAATTGAGCGTTTTGCGTGTTTCACGTGAAATGCTCGAGTTCAAAAATGTGAACTTTAGCGGACATTTGCACTGCATTACCCAATCAGGAGCTTGCTTTTGTGGGGGCGTGATTGTGACGTAGCGCCTGTTGTTGGTGTCCCGGGGGAAATCCTCCAGCCGACACAGACAAGAGTTCATCAAACTGGGCTCGGCTCAGTCAGAAACATCAATGAAAGACTCTGTCATCCAGGTTAAGTTTCTGGAGTAAATTATGAGCTTACAGGGCTGGTGCATCTCTGAAAGAATCTAGTGGACACAGTCCCAAACGTATCGACACTGTTTTACAGTCTTCATTAAAAACATAAACACTGTTATTCCTTCAATAAAATCCATGTTAGCCATTTAGCAACAAAGCTACTTTAAGCTAAATTTTACCCACGAATAAAGCGGATTTTCCGCACAAATGAAGCGAGTAAACTCAAATGTTCATGCATCTATTTACGCACGAATATTGCAATTTATCTGCGCGTTCCGCGTCTGGTGTGAACACAGCATAAGAGGGAAGATTTTCAAGAAAGAATCTGAGGAAAAATATAAGTTTAAATATATATATATATATATATATATATATATATATATATATATATATATTAAGGGTGGAGCCGAACCCCAATACAGTATTCGGAAAGGCACGAATAGCGTGTTTTTACAAATACTTGATTCGAACAAATACTTGAAAAATTATTTGTATTCAGGAGCAAGAAAAACATTATATCAAAAAGCAGCGTTTCCTCATGAGGCCACAGTGCATGCCCGCGTGAGTGAGTGAGAGAGAGAGTGAGAGAGAGACGCGCTCAGTCAGTAGCGAAAAAAATACTTCACTGCATCGCTATTTTTGTTAAATAGATTTTTGTACCTTAATTGGGTTCCAAAGGCAGTTTATAAACTTGTAGCGGAGTTGAAGCGGAGTTTGTTCGGGATTCTATTACGCTGCATTATTGACGTCTGCAATCGGGTGCTCTGTTTACGCAACGTTAGCTCTGTTAGACAATAGACTGTTGACAGAGTAACGTTAACGTTTGTTTATAAAGATTAAAACGATGCTTTTGCAGTTGTGTCGAATAGTATGCACTTATGGGAGTTATATGGTACGTCTAAATTACTGTCTTTTGCAGACAGCAAGATAAGCTATAGGCTAGTTAACCTTAGCATAGCTTCCCGTCACTTTTTATTAACTTGAAACTCTTCAAATACATTTGGGCACCATGAAAAAAATGAGACTGCTGCTGAGCCATTTCTTGGTCCTCCACCATTCAAAAGAAAAAAAAACCTTCAGGTTCTGTGTGGAAGCATTTTACAGTCAGTGGAGCTGCAGATAAAACAAAGTGATACTGTATAATGTGTGCAAAAGTGAAATCAGCAGAGGCAGAGATATTAAACATCTGTCATCATCTTCTATCCATAATCATTCATTCATTTCTTTTCGGCTAAATCCCTTTATCAATCTGGGGTTGCCACAGTGGAATGAACCACCAATTTATCCAGCATATGTTTTACGCAGTGGCTGCCCTTCCAGCTGCTATCCAGCACTGGGAAACATCCATATACTCTCTTTCACACACATACAATAGGGACAATTTAGCTTACCCAATTCACCTGTATTGCATGTGTTTGGACTGTGGTGGAAACCGGAGCACCCGGAGGAAACCCACGCCAACATGGGGAGAACCCAGTCGGGGCTCGAACCAGCAACCTTCTTGCTGTCAGGCGACAGTGCTACTCACTGTGCCACCGCGCAACCTTCTATGTAATGTATTATCACATGCACTAAAAGCATCCTCTCCTGATACTGTCTATGAACCCTCCACAAGCATCAATTCCCTCAATCAGCACAGCTATGTTCTGCTAAATCCTCCACAAGCACCAAACCATCAACACAGCCACATTCTGCCCCAGCAAGTCAGTTTCAAACATAAAAAAAAAAAAAAAAAAAAAAAAAAACTTTGTGTCTGTTTTGTGGCAGGCAGATGACAATAGCAGGGCTATTTAGTATTATATAGAATACTTTTGTTCTGCCAGATCTCCCAGGCAGGGTTTTATTAAGATTTATTTAGTTAATTTAAGTTTTTGGAATTCTGTGCATTGGAAAGAAGTTCTTTCAGAAGAAGAACAGTTTTTTGAAGTATTATTTGTTTTTATTCTGTCTATTCAGTGTCCTTCAACAAGAACGGTGGTGGTGGGGTTCATAATATTCACAATGGTATTTTATTAGTTGTTGGTTTAACCATGGATGAGATAATGGCTTCTATGTTATTTTCTTTTCAATGACGTTTCTTGTCACATGTTCAAAAACAACAACCAATATTGCATGTCTATAATTTATATAATGGGTATAATTAAACAAGACTTTCACTATAACGTAAATTAGAAGTGTAATAGAAAAAATATATATTTTTGCGCCATTTTGAATTTTACTCGAATACAAATACAAATACTTTTCCCCCTCAACTCCCCCTCTGCTCCGCACATCCCTAATATATATATATATATATATATATATATATATATATATATATATATATATATATATATATATATATATATATATATATATATATATATATATATATATATATATATATATATATATATATATATATATATGCTTGTTAGTTTGATTACTGTTGATTTCAAATGCAATAAATATGTTTGTATAACACTTGTAGTAATGGTGCTTATAATTGGTGGGTGCGACTAAATTTTGGCTGATGAGCCTAAATTTTTTAAGTTAGGAGCACCGGTGTAACCAAGCAAAAAGGTTAATTTCGAGCCCTGCTAACAATACATAAAATACTGACAAAAGACATGAGAACAAGTAAGAAACTCATTCTGTCTTTCAATGAGTGCTTATGTGCATTTAGGAGAACTAGGCAGCACACTGAGGGCTGCAAGATGGATTTAATTTAGTATTCTTATTGTTAAAATATATCTGAATGAGGATTAAATGACTGAGTTGGTCTTTGAGAATGAAAACCAACCTGTTTGTTCCTGCAGATCTTCCTGTTTGACTGTGAATGTTTCTTCAATCTTCACATCTTCACTCTCCTCTTTAATAAACGCCATCTTTATAACAGTGTGTAGATCAGACGCTTCAGCAGTTTTTCTGTGTTAGGACACTTTATCCTGTTTAAATAAATAAAACAATGAACAGAATCAAAATTACTTCTCTTCAACACTCGCTTTAACAGTTTCTTTGTATGAGAGTAATTAACAAAAGTAAATCAGGTAAGTTCGAGCAAGGAAACAATACCCACAAATGAGCTGATTAAAACTAGAACTCCATTTCTTATAGTGATGCATTGTTAGAATGGAATGACATTATGCTGTTTAATAAATTAAACCTTCAATAAAACACTTATTGCATCTCAG